GTTAGTCTTCCGCATCACTTGCTTAGTCTGGAATGCGAAGTAGGATGGTGCTTATAGGCCATCTGGCAGCCCTTGAGCCCTCAACTCGTATTGGGCGGTTTGCAGGTACGGGATATGCACCCCCACGGCCATGTAACACACTCAAGGAAGAAACTAACCCCGGGCACATCATCGCCCACACGAGCATCCATTCGTGACCAGGTCGCATGCACAAAAGGCGGGTGGGCTCTCCCCGTGTTCTCCATACAAGGCAGCCAGTCATATGTGCTGATCGCATGCAAAAGCACAGTCACATTCTGAACGTAGAGCGAATGTCTGAGTTGCTACATCTTGTGGACTTGTTTTGTGAAGCTTTTGGGATGCGACCAAATGTCTCAAAGTGTGAAAGGCTTGTTTTTGCATGTGACGGCACCCAGCAGTCGGAACTTAGCGGGAGATGTCAGCAGTTACGGCTATCAGGCCAGGTAGTACCTGCCAAAGATAGCGCTCGCTATCTGGGCTTGGTATATGGGCCAGAACGGCCTTTTAGTGCGTGCCGTCAGCAGTTGTGTGATACAGGTCGGTCCGCTATGTTTTCCTTAAGCGCAAAGCTGGACAAAATGAAGCTGTTTGCCCCCGATGTGCGAATGCGGTGTTTTGCAACCCAAGTCCGAGCAATTCTGTTGTATGGCTGCCAGGCGTGGGGCCCTTTTGCGCTGGCAGAGGTCGTGGACAGGGCGGGAAGGCGGCGGGATAAAGCCAACCTTGCGGAGGGCATGTTCGAAGCCTGTTTGAAGGATAGTGCAGTCCAGCTGCAGATTTTATTTATGAGGCAGGTAGTGGGGACCGCACGGCCATCCCACAGGCTGTTGTACGCGGAGCTGGCTGAACTCCCCTTACAATATTACATGGTGAAGCAGATTCTCCGTTTCTGGAACCGCCTTCAAAAGCAAGTGGGATCCATCGCTCATGCAGTTTTACGGCAGGAGATAACCGATGCCCTGACCAACCCGGAATGGGAGGGTTGGGGAATCTCAATGTTACGACTGTTTTCCTTCTTGGAGTGCAACATTTGGAGCGGAATACCGCAAGAAGTCGTGGGGGTAAAGGAGCGTGTTGACTGGTTGTTGAGTAGACCTCTACCAGAAGGAGCGATAATAACGGCACTAAGAGAGCGTTTGATGAGCGGCTGGGACCATACGCGTCTGACTGTCTTGCCAGAGGAGTACCCATCAGATGGGAAGCAACCGGGAGTGCAAATGGCGAAGTATAAGCACTGGATGGGGCTGCCCTTTTCGGGAGCCGCAGCCGTCATGTGGCCAACACATGCTAAGGTTTTCATTCCTCGTTTAGCACATCGTAAGCTAATGCAGTTTCGTTTATGTTGCTGGGCTTTGGAGGCGAACAGAGCACGAAGGGGCAAGTACCATGTTCCCAGGGGGCAGCGGTTTTGCCACTGTTGTGGTCCTAATAGCCGAATTGAGGATGAAAAACACGTGTTATTGGAATGCCCAGCCTATAATGATATTCGTGCTGAAGAGGGATTCGATCATCAACAGAGTATGTTGGAGGCCATGCAATGGGAACCCGCACGCCTGGCGAGGATATTGAAACGTATGTGGGCTCACCGAAACTCAATTACCCCCTTTGGACGCTAGTCTGGGCTGATGTGCGGTGTTTTTTTTCCTTTTCTCCGTGGCTTTTAGGCGTTGTAGTATTGCCCTTGGGCCTTCGGCTCGTATGGGTAGTCTTACAGGTATGGGGTCACGCACCCCCAACCATGTAACACACACACACACATTCTGAACACGCGCTCACATGCGGCATGCCGGCCCGGGCGTTACCTCCCTGCCAGCCGTCATCCATCCCAATTTTCCTAGCAGCCAGGCACCCATGTTTTCGGAGCGCGCACCCGCCAAACTGCGCTGGCTGCGCCACCAGCCGCTTGCATGTGTACAAACGACCGCGAATTAAATGGTAAATATGCCGCAGCCGCCATGCCGCAGCCGCCATGCCGCAGCCGCCATGCCACAGCCGCCATGCCGCAGCCGCTACCGTCGTCACCAGTACTGCTGGTTGCCGTCGACTATGCCGCAGCCCCCACCATCACCGTTAGGTTGCCGCCGCCAGCACCGCCAGCACCGCCGCCACTGAGTTGCCGTCACCGGCCCAGTCGCCGTTGCCGTCGCTGAGGCCAACCACCGATGCCACAGGAGGCGCCTGCAGGATGGATTCATCTACGCGCACATACGTGATCATAAGCACAAAAGCGCGAACAGGAAAGGAAGGAGGTGCAATTTTCTCATGCAATAGATCCGTAGGCGCATATCGGCCTCTTCCTGCAAAAATGACTGGCAAGGTTTATACGCGAACCGGCGTTGCTGAATTCAGGTGGAGAAGTAACCAGCATAGAAAGTGCACCTGCACACGTGAAAAGGGTGGGAACGGAATCAGCCGGTTAATAGCCTGCTGATGCGTGTTGCAGTTGCTTCCAGTATGTACCTCCGAACTAGAGAGCCGCGACAGCTGGGAAGCTTAAAGGACAGAAAGATGAGGAAGATAGTTTATTAGACACACTAAATTAGACACGGATCACCGATTGTCTCTTGTTTACAAATTACAGACAGAACCCTTACAGTTACAATGCTTTCAAGTCCGCTCAACGAGTGATAGGTTGGTGTGTAGCTCCGTCCCGCGCGGTGTAAGTAGACCTGCTTAAGTCGCCAGGGACGTGACGCAGCCTAACCAAGGGGACGTGTTCAATATAGGCCTCGTCGCTTGCTTCGGAAATAATCTTCTTATCAGGGTTCGCCACCAAAGCCAGTTGCTGCTACTGCTTTTTCACGAGCCGCCTGCCGGAAGAAGGAACGAGCATCATTACGCATGCATCGAGCCGCCAAGAACAACACTCTTTCCGCCACCTGTTACCTTCCCTGCGACCTCCCATCCTATGGCCGTTGCGCGCTGGCACCGCCGCCATCGTCATGGCCATCGTCGTGGCCATCGTCGGGCGTGATCTTTGGCGAACAAACCAGCAACAAACGTCACGCCCTGGCCAACTCGCATCTGACCCGAGCCCGGGTTGTTTGTCAGCAGGGTCCCGTGTCTTTATCTTCGTTGACAGCCTCTAACCTCTCGTTTACGCCATGCCCAGCACCTATCTACTTTCAAGTCGCCTAGCCTTCCGCTGGGGGCTCTTATCTGTCTGTGCTGAATGCAGCTCCGCACCCTACAGTTTCTAGCACAGCCGCAGCCGCGGGTCCTGACCCCTCCTGACTGGTCCTGTACGGAAGGAAACAGAAGCTCGCCGCGACCTGCCTACTTCTCTCCTGGCAACCTGCTCAGCGGTCAAGGCAATTAACGAGCCCAGGTCCCCGCAAAGCTGCATGGCGTGCGATAAGGTATGCCACGTGGCTCCTCGTGTTTAGGCAGCGCGACGCCCTAGAAGACCCGGTAGCCTTTATGCCTGGGATGGGGGCGTGCAGGGCCGGTCAACACCGCCTTTTCGCAGAGCACCTAACTTCCTCCTGATACGTAAGGTAGCAGCCGCGTTGGCCTGAGCTGCAACAGCAGCCGGCCCGGCAGGCGAAATCCCTGCCCCGCAGGTTAACGCGTGTGGCTTGTCTTCGTTTTGGGGCTTGGCTTGTTGGGCGGCACTACTCGCCGGAAGAAGCTCCTTACTCCCCCGCAACTTTTTTGACGCTCTTCTGACAGCCTCGGCTGCAGCAGTAGCTTCCCGTCGCCATTTCACAAATTTCAGCGCATTTAATTGGATAGATATGGCAAATCAGCATAAATTTTACCTGAAGGTGAGACCCATGCATGCTTGGAAAGACTGGGGCGGGCATATCTGGACCTACCAGTACGTGACAGCAGCAGCAGCAGCAGCAGCAGCTTGTCCGCGGCGTCGAATGGTGAGTAGAATTAGCCTTTCTGAGCAGTAAGATCTATGTCACAGGAGGGCAATAACAAATTTGCGAGCACCTATGGTGTGCAGACTTTTAAGCTGTTGGTTACTGCGGAACAAGGGTCGTTTACCTCAGCACAAAAGTCCATCACAGACAAACAATCACACATGTACAGAAATGAAGCCTTTTTGAAAGCAAGCTTAGCCCGGTCGGAGTAGCGCACTGGTAGTCGTGCCTCGACTACGTCTGGCGTAACACACCGAGGCTGTCCCGTTTCAAATTCTAGGAATTTTAGACAGGTTGCTTTAAGGTTTTTCATTCTTGAGCCTGACGCGCTTGTGGATGTTCTCTTGTGCAGTCCTCGCTTCCGTACTGCGCGCTGCATGACAGTCTCGGACCACCTTGGACAAGGATAAAATTTGTTGTGCTGAGCGTTCGTAGTAACTGTAATTTTGGACGATTAGTACATAAGTGGTATTTAGATAATGATCCGCTACAGCAGCGCGTGAGGGCCTGGTGGAAACATTTCAGAGATGCCAAAACGCTGCAATTCATCTTGGCAACCTAACGCAAGGAAAACAGGTGATTAATACCTTACTGCATCTATGTATTGGGAAAGTCTTTCAGGTCGGGGACGCAGGACCTTGTTCCGTTCGTGCCTGGACTCTGACCCCGGTTCTTCCACTTGCAGACCGCATTGATGGTGGATCACTCGGCTGGACTGATAAGGAAGACACTTATCTCATACGGTGCGGACATGTGCACTTTTCATGGATGGCTTTGCCCTCGCGTGCCATGGCTCGTTTCCATGCTTTGAGCAAGTAGCGTATGTCGTTGTCCACGAGCACGTAAATTAAACATCATAATAAAACATATATAAATTATCTGCCTAGAATACTTATTCGCGAAGTTAACCTCGTGCTGCAAGGGTCACATCTTAGGCCATGCATCCCGGTCCCCGAGCTTTTAACCTTGGAAGGGGCCGAGGAGACCTAATTTTCTCAGTTAATGCATGTCATGACCTCAACCTAGCCTTTACGGTCCTTTCAGGCTCGTGGAGAGATACGGCGTGGGTAGCTGGGGCAGGATTGCCAGCCATCTAAACGAGCAAATGGGTTGGCCCGAGACGACAGGCCGTCGGAAAGAAGATTGCCGTGACCGGTGGGATAACTATCTTGATCCTGCATTGGTGAATGGTCCCTTTACTGATGCCGAGGAGGCCAAGCTGGTTAAGGCCTATGAAGAGGTCGGGCCCGAGTGGCGCTTGATTGCGGGCTGCCTTCTGGGCCGCAGCCCTAACGCAGTGAAGGTGGGACGATGTGGTAAGCTGCACTCTGAAAACAAATACGCTAATGTTACTTAACTGCACGATAGCGCCCCCACTTGCTTAGGAAAAACCTTGCGCGCAGCGTAACAGCCATGGACATGGGTCATTTCCACATGTCCTGCTGTTTTTAATAGTCGTTAAGTAGAAGATTGTGGAAGGCCAAGTGCCGTTGCTTCGTTCTGGCGGCATGGTGATGAACGATGTACCGTTCACCATAGTACTGTTGGGCATGGTTGCACGTCACCGCAGCCTCCAAAAATCTATCTGGAAGTCCAAATCCAAACAACTCGTGCTAGTCCTGCCTGCTGACTGGCAGCGTGTCGGCCTTCCTAACAGAGTCCTGATGATATGCCGTCGTGATAATACTGCAATACTTCCTGCCCGGCCCGCAGACCCATCGTGTGCTCTTGATTCGGACGACGTGCAGTGAACGCGCCGGGTTTTGCGACCCGTTCGACGTTTGTTCACAAATTCCGCAGTGCCGTTGAAATGTGTCACATGTGGCATTTGCTGACCAATGCCTCAAATGCCACTTTTATCCTATTTCACACATGCGAACCACAGAAGCAGTGGGCCACCCTTCGGGATCGAGCCGTCCAGAGCAAGCCATCCGGAGCGATTCTCCTAGAGCGAGCCTCCTGGAGCAAGGACCCTGCTGGGACTCTGTCGCGCTACCTGTGCAGTCTGGGGAAGAGGAAGAGGGGGTACGCGGACAGGGACGAAGGCGGAAACCCCCCAAAGCGCGCCAAGGTTTAGTGGCGGGATGGGCATTGATGGAAATCAGCAAGGCAGTTCGCAAAACTGTACGTGCTCTGTTTAAGCGGGGGCCACGTTGAGCCTGGAAGGACCTAGAGTGCAAACAGCCAAGGTGGGCGCATGTGACACTGGCATGTGCACCTTGCCGGCTAAGCCGTGTACAGTCTTCTCCGTAGGAGCGCAGGCACCGTTGTGACGTTCGTCGTTAAGTCCTCACCGCAGCCTGGAGGGGAGGTCGGATGAGCCGCTGGGGCGGCGGGTGACGTTTGCGCCGCCGGGCGCGGCAGTTCTCGTTGTTCCCAGAGCGTTTTGTTCTAAATCGCCTTTTGGTCGGTAGTGCGTGATGGAGACACCGTGCATCTTTTTGGGCTCTCACCCGGGTTTCATCTACTTATAGTTGTATCTACGTCTCGGCGTTTTGCCATTTATGCGTCTCGTTGATATTAGGGTTTCGCCTCATATCAGCTTTATTTTGCCACCACCGATTCCGACATCCTAGGCTTCTTGTGTCGTTAATCATGATCGACCGATAATGGGGCAATGGGGATCCGGACGGTTACGCAGGGAGGCCTCGGTCAAAGGCCCCAAACAGGATTCCATACGACGATGGTCTTCTTCTGTAGAGGGATTCGTTCTGTTCTAGAACTCGTACACCTTATTGATGGCGTATGTTTGTATGGATGGATGGATGGAGGTTGTGCGGATTGAGGCTCCGGGCATGAGAGAGAAGTTTACGCGCCTAGCAGTGGGGGTCAGTTGGCCGGTCGACTGGTCGATCCTTTCGGTCTGTAATAACACCTCGCCACATACAAGCGATGTATATGTGCTCCTACAAGGTTGATGCTCAGTGCGGGACGCCCACGCCTCACTTAAGAATTGCGGCAAAAAGCTGTAGGTAGTGATGACCCCGGCGGAGAGCACCGTACGGATATACGCTACTCCGAGAAGGCTGTGAAAAGGCTGTGGAGGACCGCCGCGCGTGAAGCGAAAAGCAGTATGGAGGAAAATGGCATGGAGAGGTTGGATGGTGAAATGATAAGAGATGAAGAGATTGCGACGGTTGACGGTTTCGACGGCCCTTGCCATGGTAATGTATGTCGCCGCTACTGACATGGTAGCCGCGACAGGGGACGATGAATTTGCGGTCACTGCCGTCGGCAGAGAAATAGTAAAGGAGGCCACGTGACTGCGACCGTTAGCACCCGCAGCTAGTAGCGCCGAGCGTCGCCTTGCCACGCATTTCGCTGAGGCTCGTTGCCCTTCTAATGCTACCTACGAGCCTGGAGGGATGTTACCCACACCCGGCACTTTAATCGGCAGAAACATAATATCCACTGACATAAACCCGCAACACAGAGGCTGCGGCTGCAGCATCGCCTGCGGCGGTAGGCGCTCACGAGGAACCGATGAAGGAGAGAGCATGTAAAACAGTGAAGGTGAAGGTGAAACTGGGGTTACGTAGGATCGCCTTGCTGAGGCGGATGTGGTCGCGGAGACTTTGTGGGCAGTTAAATAAGCGGCACTGCCTGTTTAGGACCCCGTTCGAATGCGAGTCGACAGCGGCAGGGCGACCTCTGGCGTCACCTGGAAAGTTAATTTGGTGAAACATGAGCATATTCGTGTTGTGTCACTGCCTTTGCTGCTGCAAAAGGGCCGTTGGGCAGACGCGTGGAGCATCTAAGAGACACTGGAGGCTAAAATAATATTTTCTCTGTTTGCCAGCCAGCTGGTCCCTGACTGACTCCCATTTACTTGTTTGAAAATCCAAATCTTATAAGCCTTGTCATACAATTGGAATGTTAACAGACAGAAAACGTTTATTGTGTACTGCAGGCCAAACAGGAAACGTCATTGTTGGCTCCAAGCACGCCTCCATCAGTTCGTTGCGACCTCACTCCCGCCGGCGAGACCGCCCTCCTCCTTCCACTCGTATCTGCGGGCAGCTCTCCTTTGCAAGTCATCTACGCAAACGCTGAACTGGTCCGCTGATGTAGGCGTCATAAGCGGGGTCATAAGCGAGTGCTTCATGCGGGGAAGATGAGCAGTTCGTCCAAAAGTGTTGCCATGGCGCACTTGACTCGCTCGGGAAATCAGGCAGCCACGCGCCTAGGGACCCCAGACCCGGCATCAAAAACGCTCTTCTTGTGCCAGGTGCAGGTTCATATAGCAACCGCTGCTACGTACCTCCTCTTCAGTCTCCCTGCAGAGTTTATTTCCGGGACGCCAACGAGCAATCGAACACCCGCTGCTCATGCCTGCCTGCTGGCACCGCTGCCACTGCCATCATCATGGCTATCGCATACATGAACAACGCCCCACAGGCAAATGGCAACCTATCGCGTGGTCGCGAGGCGCCCCGAGTTTGGGTTTGGTCAGGGTGCGGTGTCTTTGTGGGACATCCTTGTGCGCTTTCCGAACATTTACAGGCGCCTGTCGTGATAGTCAGCTTCCAAACCACCTTGCCAAATCATCGGGGCCTTATCACCTGCCGCATCGTACAGCATCTAAGCACATAGCCGTCGCCCCGTCCTTCCAGAGAGAAAAACTTTAACCTTTTCTTCGACCGGTTTTGTCAGTCACTTCAACCAAGGAAACATTATAATCCCACTTTGGCAAGCTGCCATCAGCCTCCTTACTCCAGGCCTTCCCGCTAAGTATTCAGTTGGCCAACAGCAGCCACCGGCCCCACAGCCGCAACCCGCGAAACCCGACGTGCGCGGCCGCGGCGCCGCTCCAGCACGTGCTTTCCTTAGTGGGCTGGGCTCGCTTGTGGGGTGGCGCTACCGGCTTGCGGCGGCTGGGCTCCTCGGGTCGGCTACCGACAACACCGGATATCTACAGCATGGACGTGCGTTCGCAGGTCGTTCATGCAATGAGATCGTCTGGGTAGTACATATGAATCATAACGTCCAATTATACAAACATGCGCATGCATAAGCGCAGCGTCCTGGCGAATGTTTGCGGAAGACGCAGCTAATAAGCCTGGCGGACGTCGTTTGCCGTGCCGCTAGTTTGTCCGTGGCGTCGATCTGTGAAAAGATTATTACATTAATATTGCGAAGACTGTTGGGAGTACAAGTCTAATGGCGGCTTTGTTTTCATTTGTCCTCTGCAGCAGGGTGTGCCCCTGTCCCTCTTTGTCTGGCCTGTGGTTTTACGCTCAGGCAGGCAGGGGGTTTGCTACACATCGGGAGAGAAACAATCACAAACATTGGCCATACGTACATGTTAACTCACTGTTTCCAAAAAGAAACCTGACACGCTCACACCGGTACTACACCGCTGGCCCTTCATACTTGGTGGTCTTGGCGTATGGGGCGGCGCCAACTGATGACTCCTCGGGTCGGCTTTTTATGACACCCTCAGCTACCGCAGCAGCGTCTCGAGTGAGTTAATCATTCACTGAGTTTATGACTAGTACAAAATCACGTCACAAAGGAATTAGATTATGATTATTGCAAAGTTCAGAGGATTGCTTACAAAAGCGCAGCCTGACAAAACTACCCGACACGTGGCTGCAGTGATAGCTCTTCCAAGGCGTTCAGCAGTGATTGGCTGCCCATCGTGTATCGCATTTTACTTCGTTTCTTGAGGAGTGCAAAGGGAATCCGCGTGCATTGTGGCGGCAACTTAACCAGGGGGCGACACCTGATTGCCCAATACGTGACGTCAACAGCTGGCGCGATTATTTTGACGCACTATACAACGACGAGATCAACGCTTTTAATGAGGTTAGAGCGGATTACATGATGAACCTCGTAAATGGGTGCTCACTTACAATACCGCGCGGCTGGGCTGGTGAGAGCTGCTTAGCCCGAAATCAGAGAGTAGCTGCTGCGGCGGCCCTCAGTGCTCCGTTTACCTTGGCAGAGGTCATTGCTGCACTAAAAATGCTGGGCAACAATAAATCCCCAGGACTTGAAAGGGCCCCTGCTGAGTGCTATAAGTATGCCACTAGAAAGGTGGGCGAAAAGGAAGAGATGTTGCTTGCACCGTATTTGCTGCGTCTATTGGAACATATCCGGTCGACTGGGGATTACCCAAGGCAGTTCGAGATATCCGCCCTCACACCCATCCACAAGAAGGGCGACGTCATGGATCCAAAAAACTACCGGGGGCTTGCCGTCGGTGGGGCTTTGCCTAAGCTTTATGCGTTATTGCTCGACCGGAGGCTAAAAGCCTGGGGGGAATGTTGTGGTGCGCGGAGCCCTTATCAGGGTGGCTTTCGGCCACGACGCGGCACCACTCAGAATTTGTTCTTGGTGCGACACCTCACAGAC